TCTCTCTCTCTCTCTCTCTCTCTCTCTCTCTCTCTCTCTCTCTCTTTCTCTTTTGCTCCCTGCTCAAGTTGTTTATCCATAGCTGTAAGTTATCTGCCTTTAGACCTAATACACATTTCCGCTTGCTAATTTGCCTGTTTAGCTGCAGCTTGTGCATGTCATTCGTACAAAGCCGACTGCGCTGATTAGCAGCCTAATGTCAAAACTTGTCACGAAGATTTAAGCGCATTGTTAAGGCTAAACAAATTGCTTACATAGCTGTAGGCACGTGACGTGCTACCAATGATCAATAGGTTAAAAAGTTCTAGGCTTTAGTTTATTGACTGAGAGCTAAGACTTGAGTTGAGTTCTCAATTCTCCTCACTTCTCCACTTTAAGACTCTTTTCTCATTTTGTTTTCTCGTTTCTCAGTTTCAGGATTCTCATTTCTTAATCATAGATGTGCAATTTTCAGTCTCTGTTGCTCATATCTCAATTTCTCTATTCTCAGCTCTCAATTCGCAGTTCTATTTTCTCTCACCCCCTCCCTGCCAATCGCTTCTCACTTCACACTTATCGATTCTCAGTTGAAGTTGCGTCGTTTATCTTTCTCATGATTCCATGTTGACAAGGCTGTCACGTTTTGGCGGCACAAAGTGTTTTCTCCTGTTGCACGATTGCAATCTGCATAAATTATTAAAAGAACAGAACGTAGCAGGTGCAATCATAGCAGTCGCCACACCTTTTAAACAGGTAGCACAAGCACACACCAAAGAGTGTGAATTCTGCTGCATCATGCTGAGAGAGAGAGAGAGGGAGAGAGACAGACTGATAGTTAGACATACACAGTTCAGTTCCTGTTTGGCCTTTTATAGCGAGTGAAATGTAACGCATGATACGTTTCGCTTCCAAGTATCGATATTACGCTGCTATCGATCAATCGCACGCGCTGCTTAGAACAAAATACAAATACAAATACAAATAAAACAAAAAGAAGAAGCAGAAACTCAAATGAAATAAGCAAAAACTCGTCTTTGTCTCCAATTTGATTTGACTAATTGATATGTTGAGCGCGTTGCCTGCCTGCATGGCCATTTAGCTGGCCAGTCGCCCAAAACGAAGTCGCTTAAACGCTGATCATCGTCATGCTCATGATGAGCATTGTGCTTATAATGATGTTCATAGTACACACATACGTCAACATTGTGCGTTCCATGTTTGTCTCACTTCAATGTCAACGGCGTTTTGTTCTATTCTGCGCCGCTCTTTGCGATTCTCAATTGTGATTCCTGCACATTGACTGAAGACTGCGCAGCACTTTACTTTTACTATTATTCCATCGAATCTTTCAAATAAATGAGTTAGCATTCGGCCTAATGTCTGCTATAAATTGTCTGACTCACTTAGTGTCTGCTCTCTGCTGTCTGCTGTCTGCTGTCTGCTCTGCCGGCTCGTTTTATTTATTGTCTATTGTCACCTGTCGCTTGGCGTGTTGCATTAGGGTTACAGCGATACAAATCAGTACAACAACTAGCCAAATTGACATCATTTGAGCCACTAGAAGTGCATAGCCATGAGTCATTAGTCGAGCGAGTGCAGTTCAATGTGATTAAACGCGTAGCCCAGCCGCAATTAATATTGAAAGCGACTCGCGTCACACGCTGCGTATACATAATCAACTGTCGGCTGTCAAAGGTTAATTGCAGCTCAATTGGAACTGTTTCACTCTGGCTGCTTCGCCCAGTCTGGCTGGCCTAATTGAGCGGGCTCAGGCTGCAGCAGAAGCTAAAGTCTTTCTTCGCTGTTGAAAGTAAAAATTGGGAATTTACTTCAATGATGACGTATTTTCTGTTGCCTAATTACAGTTGTTAGGCACAACTGCTTGCTTCCTTCAAAAATTTAATAAGCCCGGGTGAAAGTTGTTTAGTCAAAAAGAAAATTCTATAGTCGCAAAATTTTCGCGTGCGTCACGCAGCAGCAGCGAGAAAACATACAAAAACAGACGTCCAAGCCAATCAATAATAACTTTAGCACAGCGAAAAAAACTGGTTAAGGCCCATTAGTCGACTAGCTGATATCCTGAAAAACTTATCGCAGAAATAGTTGAAAATTGCAGCAAAACTATTCACTTAAATGAGCTCTGGCTGAGTTAATTATAGCTAGTCTAGAGATCTAGGTTTTTAAAAATAGAGTATACAATGATTGTTATCGATTTTAATCGATTATCCATCAACTAACTTGCAATGAAGTGGAGCCATATACCTAATCTCTCAAGTGTTTGGCCTTAGCTCAAGCTTGGATATTCACACATAGACATTATTACTGAGGGATAGACAAAAAAGTCAAGTCGATAGATAAAACGAAAATAGCCAAGGAAGAGAGAGGCAAATAGGTATAATATGCACACATCTATACCTTCTATTCATAAATCGTAATAAAAACACCATACCCATCTTACCCACTCCCAATGGGGTATCAAAAAACACATCATGACTGTGAAAAAGTCAAGAAATAAATAGAAATGTTTTTGATTGATTTGGGCAGTTGGGAACAAAAAGTATAAAAAAAAGTGAAAACGCAAACTGAGAGCTAAAAGTCACGTTGCGTGTGCGACGACCTTCGCCAGGTGTTAACACAAAGGATGCCCGGTGTTTATGGCTAGAAAAAGCTTAACAGGTAAACAGCTAGCACTCGAAAAAAAAAAGCTAAACAGGATAACCTTGCCATTTTGCGAAAGGCGTATGCAAAAAGCAAATGTTAACAGCGCAAACAAATGATATTTATGTTTGCGAAAGTGTGCCTGTGTCTATGTGTGTGTCTATGTGTGTGTGTGTGTGTGGAACATCCTTATAAAGCCGCATCGAAGGTCAGAGGAGAAAAAACTAGTTAAAAAAAACCTTTTGTGCTCAAAGTGTTTTACTAGGAAATACCCTCTAGCCGAGGCTAACTTTAGAGCGGGCAAGACTATAAACTATGCCTAGGATATGTTTAGAATAGAGCAAGACTACGACTTGGCCAGAAAGTGTGGAGTCTATATAGGGTATATTTAGAGTCATTTTGCATAGGGTGGTCCTCTGTTAACTCCAGCCTGTTAGCCCATGCACGT